CTACGACCGCTTGGGCTCATAACCCATGCTTCACGAAAAGCGGTCTTTGTTTTCTTGAGCCAAACACGAAGGCAGTTAAGCCTGGTTTGGTGTACCTAGTTGTACACTTCTCGTTTTGTGCGTCCTGTTTCAAGATCCGCAGATTCATTTGGCCTTTCGCATTTCATAGAGCACACGAGGAAACGTTGCGGAGTTGTTGGCCTGTGAGGCTGGAAGAGCGGGATCTCCAACAGGTGTATGAACATCCAGTAGTTGTGCTTTTCTCACGGAGGGGGAGTGTAAAGCCTTTTTTTGTCGAAATGCGAGGAACCTCCTCTCATTGCGCTTGAGTAGCGCTTTCAATCCATTGTTTTCTACCGACTTAACTATTTTTTCACCAGCCGACTACCACCAGCATTCCATAGCACAGCCATGAGACAAGCCTCCAGACGGGGTAGTTGGTCAGGGTGGAGCCGGTCAGTCCATTCTGCTGGTCAATGATTTTGCCCTCCGAGAGCTAATCAACACGTGGCTTGGCATTGCTGGTCTCAACCTTCCAGTTGCAGCTTCAGTGCTTTGTGAAAAGGACGCAGCTTGTTGTTTTTCTGGGCGAGGGGGTGCTGGGAGCGTATCTTGAACAAACAGACTGTCAAAGATCTATCGAACAATGGAGATACATTTATATATATATATATTGAGATAGATGTTCAGACCTTGTCACTGGTCGCTGCTTTGGCCTGGATTTGTAGCATTCTAAAGATGAGGCAACTGAAATGGTCCACCATCCTCGAGAGATTCAAAACCAAGCAGGCGCCAAACCTGAAAGTCCAAAAGTCATTATATAACTAATCGGTTGTGTGTGTGTGTGTTTCTTCAATCTTCTCAAACGTGCCTTGTGTGAAGCATTATGCCATTTAGAAAAACGAGCCGTCAGGAACCGCCAAAGGTGCCATCAGACTTTTGTGAGTTGCTTCTGGGCAGAACCATGCGACAACAAATTGTCCGAAGACTGTTGGCATTCCAGAGACTCGTGCAGTTAGATAAACTATCTATAAACTATTCTAAACTGCCATTCCTATGTCGCAACCAAGCTTTGTTGTGCAAAGATCTCCATAACCTTGCTGTTTTGCTGCTGTAGAAGTCACTAAGCACGAGAGTTGGAGCATGTCAAAGCTCACGTGCATTGGTTTCGAAAGGGTGCAAATTGAAAGGAATTTCAGGGGGTGCAGGGGGAACACGGTATTACCATATTCTGGTCTCCAAAAATGGAAGCAACGCCAATGGGCATGGTCAAGTTCTGCTGACCCACTCCAAGCAACAATTGATCGAACTTCAACCCAGAACTTAAGCCATTTTGGACCCTACATGCATTGCATTTGCATTCTGTGAAGCTTCTTAGGCTGGCTACGAAAACCTTCTCACAGCCAAGAGACTTGGAAATGCTGCAGGACTTCTTTCTGCCACAGGGCCACACCCATTCCATTGTGAGCCCACCAAAGTCTACGCTTTCTGGAACTTGTGCCGCGGTGTTGGTGACTTTCTTGCACACAGATTGGTCAATAAGACTTGTGGTGACAGGATGCATATACCATCGTCTTTGAGGAAACAATGCATACTATGAGAACTTTGGCCGGGGTCCTGGAAACAAGAGTGGTTTGTTCAGCCTTTGGGCGGCTCCCGGGCAGTCGAAACTTGAATTCGGAACACTCAGTGCATTGGCTCCTGAGCGCACAAGGTCTACTGCGACCTTGGGTGGGGCGATCGGGCTGCGGCGGAGTTGTCTTGGACTGTGAAGGCAGAACGATTTCACCACCTATGTGCATTTAGATCTCATGTGGTTTGCTGATCCATGTTGCAACTGCTTGCTTGAGAGAAATGAGGCCTGCTTCCTCTTGGTCAATATTGAAGCTAAGCTGCAAAAACTGATTCCTGGATTTTTGGAGCTTTTGTGCAGCTGAGGAAATGGAAGGAAACTTGGCTGGAAACATTATGAAACACTGTGGAGCATCACAGCCTGTCTAATGAATGCTTTGGTACTTTATTCGGTTTGTACAAGTCTGGGTCTCCATTCTTAACCATCATATCAACAATGGACTGATTTTGTGCAGATCTTAGGCAACAGCGTGGCAGACGAAGGCTGCAGGGTTCTGTTCGAAACTTGGAGATTGATGAACTGAGCTGGACACACCTTGGTGTTGTGAGAAGCGTTGAATTGAAGCGTATCAAAGCTGTCTTGCAGAAGGCATCACTGGCTTGGCAGCCCAGGAAGCCTTCGCGGAGTGCGTCTCCTTGTCGCAAATCACTCTTCGGTCCAACAGGATTGGTGATGCCGGGGCGGCTTGGGCAGCAGAGTTTTTCTCCTCCAATGTAGTTGTTGTGAATGCTTCAAATGTCTGTGCCAAGGCTCATCATATATCCCTGCATTTGCCACAATGTGTAAATCTCGAGGAGTGGGATGGATTAGGGTAGATTTGGGTTCTTGTTTTGAACAACTTCCACTAATTTCAATGTGTGCAGAGTGTACATGATGCTGAAGATGCGTATCATATTGAATAGAACTACTTGCATTATGTTACCTCAAATACATAATACTTCTGTAGATCACCTTCAACATCGCCAAGGCCGAATGGAAGCATAACATTCATAGGCACATGAAAGTCATGAAGTTTTAATGGTCGCTGGTGTGTAGCACATTTGTGACCTGGGCGAGTAGCCAGCCAATGCAGATGTTGACTATCACTTCAATCCTTTTCCATGGCCCGGGCAGATAGCCAGCAATGTTCCAGGAGTTGGACCTGAGCTTCAACAAGGTTGGCAATGCAGCTTAAATGCAACAAAACACGCGTCAAACGTTTTTGGGTTGGCCAACTCCAAAGCATGCATTGTCATGGAGTAATGATTGCTGTATGTTTGCTCTCGTCCAGTCCAAGGCGGGGGCCGAAGATTTCATCAACATGTTTCAGACCGCTCATCCATCGCTGAAGGACTGATATGGACTGCTTCAAAGGAAAAGTTGTGCAATTTCGTGCTTGTACATATGCCATTATGATTATACCGCACAGCTTGCGTTTTTGGACGGTTGATCTCTCTCTCGGGCTTCATGCGGGTGAAGAGTGAACATATGTGAAAATGATGCACCCGGCAAAAGCATCCCAATCATTGTTTGCAGAATGAGTTACCAGACTGTCCGGGTGAAGGAATTGCGTCTCAACAACAACATGGCACCTTGGAGTTGAAAAGGAGCACCGAGATTTTCAAGAATTTCAAGCTGTCATATGAGTCAGATGCAAAGTTTTTGTTGTTCGAAGTTTGTTGAGGTGGCAGGAGCTAAGTTTCGGGATGGCACGGGCAGTGCCAGGATGCATGGTTCGCCGCCCCACCCATCAACTGGAAATACTTAACTTATATTATTCACATGAGCTGGTTCATTGCTGAACGTAAATGTTTTTAGAGTTTAGAGTGAAAGTTGGAAAGAGTTCTACTGTATGTAGTATATAGTTTAGATCTATTTAGTAAAGTCTGCGTTATTTGTTCGCCGGAACCAATGCCAAAGCCTAAAATGCTGAAGTCCATTTTGCATTTTTGTTTAGAGGCAACTGAGTGCCCGCACAAAAGCTTCGAGGGAGCATGAGTGCTGGGTGTATGGGCACTAGAAAGGGCAGCATTTAAGGTTGGCTCCACCTTCAAGATGAAATTGGCGAGCGTGGCTGAGGAAATTCAAGGAGATGGTTTCCGGGTGCGAGTTTAGCACTTTCGAGCCTCCCCTGTAGCCGGGGCCAGCGTGGCGTGGTGTTAACATAAAATTATGAAATTGGCCCATGAAGTCAGGATTCTATCCCATGCGATCCCCTCCTGCAGTAATTCGACGAATCCAGAATTAGGATGGCGGCCCTGCGAAGCACGGCAGCCGCCGAGCGGCAGTGCAAAGATGTTCTTTCGCAGGCCTTTGTTGAGTTGGTCCCTTTGATCAATGCAAATCGGACCCAATCTGTGAGCGATGGGACAGCAGAAGGGCGTGGAAAGGCGATGTGACAGCAGCAATTAGCCATGTGCCACCGGTTGAGCCGGCAACACACATGGCGTTTCACTGCTCCCAATTGCGGCCCGCAATCAAAATATTTGGCTTGAGAAGTATCAGCCTAAATTCCCTTAGATCCAGAGTTCTGGCTGAGTGAATGATGTGAATGTTGAATTACAGAGTGTGTTGCAGAACCATGCCGTCGGTGAGTCCTTTCAAGTGTGAATGCTGCAACGATTTGCAACGTATCGGACGTAGCGGTTTGCGTCATTTTGTTGTTTGATCAAGTGTGGGGTCTCCTGTTGAGTTTGCTAGTCTCGGATGATAAAATATTTTGCTAGATCAGCTAAGCAAGATCCTTTACATTATATTGCAGCTTTAAAAGCCTCCCCCGTTCGTGCACATGATTCAAAACTTGGGACAGCCAGGTCCAGTCGAGAATCGTTTTCGACTGGCGCATCTGAGGCGTAGAAGACGTAGATCGGAGAAGCAAGTTTCACAGTCCATTTGGTGGCGGACTTCGTGTAGGAGCACTTAGGCTTCATGGTTGGGCTCATGGACTTGAGGCATATGGCATAATTGTTTGGATGATGTCGGAGCACCGGCCGGAGGTTCAAAAGACTCTTGCTCAGCTGAGGACACCCATCCACCGCAGGGGATCATCAGGGAGCATGACGGAGGGTTCTCTCGCATCAGAGGCCATGTCAATTGACAAAGTTGAAGATGTTTGTCCCCGGGATTGGACGGGGTCTCATTAACCAGAATCAGCAAGACATGTTTGCAAGAACTTGTCTCATGCTCAGAAGCTGCCGTGGCAGCCCACTTCAGGCCTTAGGCTGTGAGATGTTGTTTCTGCATGTTTCTGCTGCTTGTTTCTCATGCACATTGAAAAGACTTGAGGATTGTTGAGCCCCAAACTCCCAACTCCACTCTCTCGCTACGTATGGGGTGAACCTTTGGCTCTGAAGATGACACGTTTGCTGATCGATATGATGATTGCCGCAGCTCTTCTGAAGCACCAGAGGGGCCGTTTTCAGACACATCACACTGGCGAACAAAGTTCAGAGCTCAGCTGTGTATGCGTGATGTGTTCCAAAGCTGCTTGGAGGGAACTGGACCGTTGATTTGAGGCCAATGGCAGAGATCAGTGTTTCACCCTCCAGGGAGCTGCATGTGCCGAAGAATCGAGAAGGGCCGGGGGTCCTGGCTTCCGCATCCCAATGATTGGTGCCTCGAATTGCCAAAAGTGTTCAGACAAGCAGTGTGCCTTGAAGAAGGCAGAGCAAACGGAAGATACTATAATGGAAGCAATTTGTTAAGAATTGTGCTTGACTGTGCTAGGCTCATGGATGAGAAGGCGTTGAAACGTGCGAACCGATTAGCTGGCGCAACTTGGACCAGGTTTCGCACGCGTCCAGCTGGGTCATGCTGGGTCAAGTTGCGCATGATTGAATTCCATGACGTTCCAACCAAAGACGGATTGCCAGAGTCCTTTGCAACTGCAACCAATTTTGTTGTGTGCACCTAGGTAGGGCAGTCGGTGGCCAGCATGGACTTGAAGGCATGGCAGACAATTTGCAGCCTTTCAAACGCAGATCAAGTTGATACTTCAGAGTAAGGGATGGGATGACGAAATGGTTGCCAACGGAATATCCCTCAAGGGCAACGCGGCTGTGTTGTTTGTTGGCAGGTGCTGCCCAGATTCAGCTACCTTTTAGCCGAAAAAGATTGATAGAACTTAGAACATGATACTGGTAGGCATGCAGCTCGCTGCTTGCTTTCATGCCACGGAGCTTCACACATTTAATCACATTTAGTATTACTGTAAGTATGCTGTTACTGGGCACATTCCTCTTTCATTTGGTCAGCAGGACCAGTTTTCTTCCCGAATTGGACATGTGCAATCAACCGTAACAATCGTGACATATCAAAGGCGGTCGATGGCCGGCTCAGGCCGTAGCTGAAACCTATAAGAGTCAAGCTGGGTGCCCAAGGTTAGCTTATTCGAGTCACACATGTTTTGGATTGTTTTGGCTCAAGATTCAGCAGAACAACTCTCCCCTCCAATTTTTGGTTGAACTCATGGTCACCGCTTTGTTGCTGATATACCCTTCATTTGTGATTGATGCGCAAGTAGAGTTGTCACGATCACAGCTTTCCCGTCTTCCCGTTCCGAAAGCATCAAAGCCGACATCATGTAGTGAAATCTACTTATGCTTGTAGAGTGTCAGGCGCTGAAAAGTTTTCCATCACGAACTTTGAGGCTGGCAGCAGTGGCATCGAGGCAGCTGCAGCAGCTGCAGCTGCCCTGAACGCGGCACTAAAGGACTCTTCACATGTATTGAGGGCTTGGCAGGGCGGTCGACACTTGTGGACCGATGAAGCAACAACAAAACTGATAAAAAGCTATTTATAGGTCACATATTAGATACTATAGTCCGATTTGATTAATTCAAGCTGCGATAGCCCAATTTGCTGTGCCCATGTGAGTTCCCACCCAAACGTTATGTTGCCAGGCATCTCTACACGGAGGGGTGGTTGACCAAGAGGAGTGCCTGAAGGTTGCACAGCAGGAGGTGGGTTGCTGGAAGCTATTGAATTGGCTATTGGCCAAAGCCCATGCTGGGCGTGACTTCCAACTTCCCATTGACAGACAAAGTAGTATCTCAAGGCATCTCAAGGCGGTCCCACTAATTAGCAGGATCGCGCCACGTCATATTTGCACTTGCACAATGCAGATGGACTCTACAAAGTCCAAATGCGTTTTCTGATTTTGTTTGATGTCCTCAAGGGTAGTTTGGCGCGGCCCTTGCTGCGCAGAATCAAACGCTTTGGCCGTGGTTTGACCGCGTTTCCAGGTCCAAAAGGCAGCAACGAAGCGGGCTCGCCAAGCACAAGGAAGAACTGACTGTCGGAGTTGTCACATGGTAGTGACTCGTGACAGTGACAAATACTCACTCCAACTTCCATAAAGACTCCTGAAAGAATTGATTTGCTGAGGAACCTGTCAGTAGGAACATGACAATGGTTGCTTGAAAGCTTTTCCACAAGGTGTGCGCAGAGAAGTTCAGCCTTGGCATGAAGCTTTTGCAGCACTCGAGTCTGCACTACATCGATATAGTTATGCGGTTACACAACAAGCCACCCCCTCTTGAAAAAAAAATACAATACTTGATTGAGTTTGCAAATGCTCTTGCTGCATTTGTTTGTCCTCTCACTCCTCTGTGGAGAATGCCTTGATGCTTCTGTTCGTTGTTTGGAAGTCATCTGGATTGTTGTCCAGGATCACTGCTCGGCCGCGATGTAAAGTGTCGAAGTTGCAAACGCCGCTGATCATTTTGTTACGCCCCTCGCCTCTATGTTGTATGTCCAGCTCAAGGACCCTTCTGTTGAGCCCAGGTCCGCTCTCAAGTTGGAACGGTGCTGAAGGGTGTTGCTTCACGAGAGAGAGAGAGAGAGAGGGGGGCCCCCCTTGTCCTGATAGACGCTCCTAGGAGATCATTTTGGAATATTTTAGATGTGCCAGGTTTGCGGGATTCCAGGCCACCGAATTAGAAATTAGATGAAATTAGTGAATGATAGCTGCTGGACCATCACTATCACTAGGAAGGCTTACAGATGGTGGCTACTTCAGATAGTTTCGCATCTCGTGACTATATATGCCTTTCCCCAGCTGCGGGCAGTGACACAGGAGAAGCTGTTTTGGCAGCCCGGGTTGCAGAGGCAAGCGCGTGGGGATTTCCAACCGGGATTTATCAACTGATCAGTTTTCAAAGTGATCCAACGCGTCCAACGTGTGATTTCCAATCAGATCTCCAGAAAGAGCTGGTGCTACGGACACCGATCCTTGCAAAAGCTTTGTCGCTGTCCACTAGGTTGACCAAATTGCAGTGTCCATCCATTTGCACATATTGCTCGAGTACTGGTCTGTTGTGGCAATGCATGAATCACGACTGGACCATGCGGAAAACTTGCACAGATGTTGGGGAAGAACCAACATGAATTCATGTATTCATGAGGACCTCCAACACTCACAAAGATGTGCCTTATGCACCTCACCATGTCTCAACAGCATGGAGTCATATATGTCAGTGTGAAGCTTGCAAATTGTCGAGGTGGGCTACGAGGGGCAGGCACGCTCGGAGGCAATGAAGCTAGCGCATGACGCCCACTTCACCAAGGTCATGGCCAATAGGCGGGCAGTCCCGGCTGAGAACATATGGGAACGGATGCAAGAAAGAAGAGCTAAAAAAAGAGCGGCACGCATTGCAGATGATACAGATCATTATATACATGGTGTAGTGTAATTACCCAGGTGTTTGATGAAAGCATTGAGTAGAAGTGCTTGATGAAAAAGCGTCGCTTGGTACGTCTATCACGTTGTCGACCTCTGATGATCTGATGGTTGTGGAGGAATGATCGCCTGGCTGAAGATACGGCCACGAAGCGGGCGATCCGTGAGGCTGAACAGCTGGGGCAGGATGTCGGTTTGGTCTTTAATGAATGAGTCCTGCTACTACATGCAGGGTTTTGCATGTAAAAAACTCGGCACGTGCTGAAGCATGCTGAAGCAGTCAGATTTGCACGTGCGTGGCCTAGCTATGGTGCAATGGCAATCCTGGCGGTTGTATATTTTATAAAACATATAAAAAATAGAGCTCAAGTTTTAGGCCCGAAAAGCATTCCTTTACAGTCTTTACAGCTGTATTCCCACGATTTGTTATTTGTTTTTGCAGCTGTGCGGCCTATGGAGCATGCAACAGAGCCGCATGATAGCAGGACATAGCAGCTTTTCTTCGGGAGCTAGGGCTTGAATGTGCCACCAATGACATCGGGGCATGAATTACATCGGACCAGGAGCGGGCTGCTGCTGCAGCAAGTCGAAGGTGCCTCTCTGAGGCTGGGAACGGCTTTGGCACGTTTTGTATGCCTAGGTAGGGCCGACTATATAACCGTTCTTCCATTCTTTAGAATCAAGCAAGCAACCAGCAAGAAGTGATGTGTAGCCAACAAAGTTTGATTGGGGGACGCGTTAGCGTCCCTTAGCACCCAAATGCCTCGATAAAGCTTCAGCAGAGTACCACAGGTTGCACAAGACTCGTGGTGGATTCGAGCATTTTCTTCATTGCTTACTATGATTCACCGCCAGGCCAGAGCGAGATTTGGCCATCGGTGGCCATCAGTTCCAGTTGAAGACTCTGCCAAGGACTTAGATCAAATGGTTTTGCATAGCTTCTCCAACCGGATTGGATCACAGGAAAACACTCCACCACGGTGAATATAAATATGCAAGATTGATTATACAATACAATACTGTCTTTGCTTGGCCCTGGGAACCAAGGCTGAGCCGTCAGCATATCCTAGTCTTTTGGCAGATGATCCTGCCAACGGCCCAGATGGAAAGAGTCGTTCGGATGAGTCAGCTCTGTTTATTCAGGGGCATGTTACGGCATGTTGTTATGTTTCTTCAGTTAGTGAATGCATGAATGTGCTCGCTGTTTCTTTTGTTTCCAGCTTTGCGATTTTATAAACACATGGCTAGCCCTCTAGCTAGTGCATTTGCTGTATGAGATTGCATCAGCTGGCTTTGAAACATTGCTGCCGACAAAAACTGGTCAAGAGTGTTTAATCAATATATATATATATATGTGGTCCACACAGATTCTCCTTTCAACTGAGCTCAGGTGGTACGCCGAGCGCGGGCTCTTTGCAGTGGTGTTGCTCAGGCGCCAGAATAGCTTTGAAGAAGCATCAATGCAGTATCAGCTCCCATACGCTGTAGCTGTCTCTGGCAGAGCCAGTAGTCGGTCTCCTCAAATTGTGCTTGAGGCAGTCTCGCAGCTGGAAGAACAGAACCAGATGCTGAAGAATAAGCCATCTTTGCAGATTAACCTGCCTAGGCAGTGGTCCGATTGGTCACATCCATGTTGATGCACGGGACGTCTCCAAGAGGTGAGTCATGTGTGCACCAAGGTTGCAGCTAAATCCAATGCTCGAACTTATTCTTCTAACATCTCGAAGACATGCTCGACCCAACTGTTGGTCACTTCAGAGCAGTAGTGTTAATATGTGAACAATCATCTTATAGATGTAGACATAAGGACCATGGTTTCCGCCAGGGCAACTGCAGTCAGACTACACCATTTTGTGTGACAAGCTTAACGTCCCAAAGGAGGTCCATGAAGGTCTAGAGTCTAGTGAGTCTAGCGGCTCAGCCTGTTCATCATGTGTGATGTTGACAGCATGAGGTGTGTTCCTTTTCTTGGCTTGGTCTTTTGCAAGTTCAGTCTAGTCATCTCAACTGCGACTAGCTTGGCACAGGTCACAGCCTGCAAGGGAGCAAAAAACGCCAAAGCCTTTCCAGGGGCCGTTTGACAACGAGGCCAGCTCCAAATACAAAAACAAAAATTCTGTGTTGAATTGAATAGGTCTCAGTAAATGTTTATAACCAACATGTATTCGCAAGGTCGTAAGCGCCTCGGCGTTTCCTAATTATGTTTCTTTCTTGGTTTTGTCATGCACTGATTAAAATTGATCCCCATACCAAGTCCCCTGTGGTCAGTGGCGAAAGTTGGACCAGGCAAGTTGGGATTCCCAAATGGCTTATATATATATATATATGTCGGACCTTATGGGGAATACCCTACCATCGAAGCACTGTCGCATTGAAAAGGAATTGAAGACTTGGACTCTTGGCTCACGGACAGCCACAAAGTTGTTTTGTCCGCCTTCCTCACTTCCTCCATTTTGCTCCCTTTGTCTACTGGTGCCTACTGTTGCCTCATTCTCCTCAGTCCTTCTTTCCTTTTCAGAAGCAGAGCCGCACTCCACGTGCCACTATTTGCCACTCCAGAGCTCGAAAGCATGTGCTATATTTGTCGAGGAATTTGTGAGCAGCTCAGGGCCGAAGTCACTCATGCTGTCAATCTCAGGACTAAAGACGAATACAGTGTTCTCTCCTTTTGGGCATTGGCGACTCCAGATCCAAATTCTGAAAGGTAGGTATATAGGATTTGGATTATGATTATATATAGTAATAAACAAGGATTATTAAACAAGGCTAGTTATATATAGGATTATATAGGATTGTTTAGTTATATATAGGTAAGTCCTGATCAAACGATCGGACGGATGATGCGCTGTCAATAAGAGTCATCGGTCTTAGCGTGTACCCAAGGTGTCCTGCAAAGCAAAACGCTAAAAGACGTCATTCCTAGGTTTCTCACATCCGTGTGTGGTTGTGCCCCGCTTTCGTGTTTAGATTTCTTACTCGTTCCTTCTCATTCCTATAATTCCTATTAATTCCCTTTATTCAACTCGACAAGATAAAGGGTCAGGGTCGCCCTGGCAATCAATGTCAAAGATTCCTCATCTCGTGAATACGATAAATGATAAATACGTGTGGAAATATTTGGATATTTGAATAGGAGAGTGTGTGTATCGGTGTGTGTATCCTTAATTTGGACCGTAGCAATGCTTCAGTGGCACCTGGAAAAGCAGGAGCTCATCGCGAAGGCGAAAGAGCTGCTCGCAGATTACAAGCCTTTTCCTTAGATCGCATCCAGAAAAGCTGCTGATTGAAGCAATTTACTGCAGTCTAGGCAATACAGGTAGAACGACAGGTGACAAGGGGGTGTGCTTTAGCTGGGTTGCTCAAAGGGCTTGGGCACATGCTTGATTACTCTAGAAGCCACACTTGAACCCGAGGCCAGAAAAGCAGAGGCCGTGCTAACCCCAAAGTGTATTACCCTACAAGAATCGCTTGCAGTCTAGCCGCAACGTACCATGCGGCTCACTTATTTCGACTTGGAGACTAACAGCAGGTGTGTTTTCTCACGCGCTGCAGGATACTTGTGGTGGCAGTAGACATGCATGTGTCACCTTGTGTCAGTGCTGGATGGGGTGGCACGGAGACAACACAGGGCATCGGTTCACGGAGGATTGAAACAGTTGGAGGATGTCACGTAAATGCAGTGCTGTGCCCCACAGCAGGCTAAACATTGCGCAGGCCGTTCACCTTGCACAACATTAGGGACAACCAGTGGAGTGTGCCTAGGATATTACAGGATATGCACTGTGAAATTGAATTTCAGAATGAGCAATGTCAAGACATAGATGGTATAGCTATACACTTGGGGCTACTGATGGCACCGCAGAGTTAAACACCTATTGTGGTCATTCTGGTGAAGTTTGCAGGTTGCCCTCTGCGCGGTCCTCAGCGCGGACAACCCCCACAAGAGAGCCCTCCAGTCATGGAAGCCCGCGGCAAGGATTGCCTTGCGGGCAGGTTTGGACCGGCACTGGCTGGAAGCAGTCTCAACTCAGACTCAGACTCAGCTTGGCTTTGGTGATCCGAAGCAACTACCTTAAGAATCGTTTGTTGGGTTTGTTGTTGTGTTTTTCTTTTCCTGTGGAGACGGGTTGAAAACAAACGAGAGAGAGAGAGAGGGAGAGATGTGAGCCGAAGTGTACTGGTACAATTTGGTACCCACCTTCTTGAGCACCTTCGGGTGACCCCAGGAGACCTCAGTGCCCTTCAGCGTGCACGACAGCAATGTACAGATGTTTGTGTTGGGGGCTCAGTTTGATCACCGGTTGCAGTCGCTTGACTATGCAGTTGCTTGGTCGACTCGTGTTGCAAACTCGTTTGGTCGACTTAAGGTCGAGCTGTCTACAAAGAGCCGTGCAATGAGACGGTAGCATACGAACTGACAAGGCTGAATGAGAAGATGTTGCAAGTGCAATTATTGCATACTGCTACTGTAGTCGTATTTATATATGTTCATACTAGATGGATGTGCAAATGTATTAACTTCAAGCCATGGCCTCCAACTTGCACAGATAATAGTGAGCCTCGAGGAAGTTGACGGTTGCACCGGTGCGAATGGCATTATTTTAGCAATGGTGACTATTCGAAGTGGCTGCTCTCAGCTGTCAACTTTGAAAGGCTGCGTGCTTTTGTTATCTAATATTTTCTTTGTTTGACCTGTAGATGTTTTACATGTTCATTTATTCAAATCTTGGGTGATTTTACTGATCATGTCAGAGAGAGCATCAGTCACATGCAGACTGAGCAGCATTAGAGGTTGGCAAGGGATTGGGCGGGACAAGACTCAAGCATGACTCAAGCTAAGAATGCCGCTCAATGGACTCTATGTCATTGTCGCTCAGCCTACATGTTTAGCAGTTTCACAGGCCCAATTCATCTCCTGCCTAGGATTTTCAGCAACTGATGGCAGTGTATGATTGACACAGCAAGGAGGCCGTAGAATCTCTTCAACGGACGATGTTGCCCGTGATAGAAATACTACCTGGAGGCATGTTTCGCCAGCACCAATCAATTGCAACTGGAAATCATAAAATAATCATAAGGGTTTGAGAACAAGAGGCGGCTTGCCCTGTTTTTCGTACTGAATTGCTGAGAACTTGAGACCATTGCTAGTACATATATATATAGTACATGATCTAGTGAATCTATATGGTTCGTGTGTGCATATGTTGCCCACACCATCCTGTGGCATCCTGCGGCCACCCTTCGCTGTGCAACCCGCGGACACATCTCAAGAGGCCCACCTGACCGAGAGCAGGTAAGCCAGATATGTCCAGAAAAGGAGCCAAGCAACGGATGCGCATGAGTCATTGAGTGACTCGACAACATGATGCAGCCAGGATATTTCCTGCATTTTCTTGCCAACACTTTGCGCAGGATACACCTGGCAATTCGGTTTTCTACAGACTATTGGGCCGTGTTGTTATATACATAGTTCTCCATTCTGCATACGTACTGATACGTACTGTGGATTCTTGCTCACATATCAACTTGTGAAGATGACTCGTGATACAGCCCCTGCACCCAGGGCAGCTTGTTACTGTCCTCGGCTGAATTCGCAACTTGCCGCTCGCAGTGTTCACTCAATCAAGGAATGCCGACAAGTTTGCATGTCCTGTTCGTGTATGCTAGAAGTATTGTAAGTCTTCGAAACACGGTGTTTCCTTCTTGGGGCCACCAAGCCAGGAAGATCAAACAGATTGGCAAGCGGAACTGTAAGTCTCCATGGCGATTTTGCAATGTGCATCTTACAAGACTTAGCAGATCTCCACAGTCAAATTGGCCAGCCTTTCCCGCTGAGGGTGGCCCAGGGTTTGCTGTGTGGCGCGTATGTGCAGTTGTCAGTGCAGACAATTAGCTTGAACCATGCCTGCTAGTCGCTGCTTGTGGTGATCTAATTTGACGTCCCGATCAGTGTGATGCAAGGTGTGCTTGCATTCATCTCTCTCGGCTCGATTCATCTCGATTTAGAAAAGTTTCAGATTGAAGGTATCAGATATTCAAGTTTCAAGTGGCAACTGTGAACAAGGCTGCTCGTTTTGAACATCCCCTTGAAAGCCCTTAGCGCCGCACATTTGGCGCTTTCGAACTGTACGCCATGCATACCGAGACAGAGAAAGAAGCGGAGGAGACCTTAGTACACTACCTGTAAATGCTTTTGAAACCTGTTAAATACGATTTCCACTATTCAGTGTACCACCCATGCCACTACCAGGCCTTGGCTTTTGGGCCTCTCTTGCTAGACCAGGCCCTTGCTACTAGCAATTTGATTGCATGCCCATAAATTTGCTATCATATCACTTATTTTCTGCAGAGGCTGCTCCCAAAACATCGCTTGCATGCTATACTTGGAGGATACCTGCCCTGTTCATGGGCCTATCACTTGCGGATTCCTCCAGAACCTTTGTGGTGCCTTTGGATGGAAGCTCTTGTTGCTGATCGGATTAGCTGAAATCACATTGAAGGCGTGAAAGGGAAAGCTGGCAACGTTCTTGTCTGACATGTAGACCTAAAGGAAATTGGGTTGTTGGCAGACAATCCTTTTGCATGGCGCTGCTGCGTGATGCTGCGTGTAGTTTTTGCACGTCCTGATATAGTGAAGGAAGCTTGTGTCACTTATGTCCAGTTTGCATCCGATTGACGTTGCAAACTTTCAGAAAGCGTGGACAAGAAACATGCAAAACAAATCTGGCAGCTACTTGATGGCCCTGGGGAGAGGGGGTGGGAGAGAGAGAGAGAGGGAGGGAGGGAGGGAGGGAGGGAGGGAGGGAGTGAGTGAGTGAGTGAGTGAGAGACTGACAGACTGAGAGATTGAGAGACTGAGAGACTGTGAGTGAGAGTGAGAGTGAGAGTGAGAAGATGATAGTGACAGTCGCGATGGGAATAACGTGGTCGTGGCCGGTAAGATTTCTAGGTTGACCTACTATAATATAAATGCAAATGCTACAGCTATATATATTGCTCCTGTACCTATATCCAGGCTCCGGCATACATTCATTCGTTTCCCTTTCTTCCCTGTCCCTTGCAGGGCTTTGTAGCGGGTGGAGGAAGCGGTGGCCTGGTTGGGCTTCCTATCGAGTGACCAGACCTTGCTTCAGGATGTTGTTTGCTTAGTTTTGGGCACTTGGGCACTGGTGTTCAATGCTTGTCCTACCAAGGTATTTGATGAGGGAGCACCTTGGAGAAGAGATAGATCAAGAGTTCCTTCACTCTCTTTGGACCTGTTGGACTCAAAGCCGCTCAAAGCTGTTACCGACCTAAAATCCGGCCAAAGGCCCGTCATCGGGCCCGGCAATGGCCGTGTTCTCCCAAAGGGTCTCTCCTCTCCGTAGGAGAGAGGGGCTTCCGCCCCTGCTGCCGACCCACCGGGTTCCAGCTGGGAGGTGCCCGGGAGGTACCTACGCTACTGTGTTTTACAGCATTTCTGCGCGTGGTGTTCAAAAAAACACTATGTTTTATAGGGTTTTGTGCGCGTGGAAGATCAAAAGTTTTTGTGGTGGCGAAGTGCCAAAACTGTGGGATTTACAAGGGTGGTGCGAGTTACGCGCGCCGCACGGGGTTGCGTAATTGTTTTTTTTTGTGTGATGGGCCCGTGTCAACATAAATGGCGCAAACTGTACCCCAAGATGACCCAACAGAGGCCCCCCAGATGACCCAACATAGGTCCAAGATGGGCCAACATAGCCCCAAGAGGGGGCAACATAGGGTCCAAGATAGCCTAACATAGGCCCAAGATGGGAGCAACCTGGGCCCAAGATAGCCCAACATAGGGCCAAGATGGGCCAACATGCGCCCAGGCTGGCCCAACATAGGGCCAAGCTAGGCAAACATGGGCAAGATGGGCCGCCAACAACAACAACAACAACAGCAGCAGCAGCAGCAGCAACAGCAACAACAACCACAACAACAACAACAACAACCAAAGCAACTACACCAACGACGACCACCCCTTCCTCCCCAGCATGCCGGACGAATCTCCAAGAACAGACCAGGTGCAAGATCCGGCAGTTGCGCAGAACCCAACCCTGAACCCAATTCTGGCCAGCTGTCGGGCGTAAGCCCTTAAATTCTACAAAGTCTTGGCTGCAGTGATGGGGCTACACAGGGGTGCAGCCACTTCATGTTTGGGTGGCGAGGACTTCGGTCTGAAGATGACCAAGAGAGAGAGAGAGAGGGAGAGTGTTTGCCCCAGCCAGCCAGACTATATGGACCATGTCTACTCTGTAACTTCTACCAAGCTGATGTACCAAACTTGCTGCAAGCTGACTTTGTGGGGGCCTCAGGTACAACGTGCCAGCAGCAGATCTTCAAGTCTATAAATCAGCAGTGCTAATTCCGTGGCAACATGGCAAGAAACTTTAAACAGAAAGTGGCTTCGGAGAGTTATGTTCCTTGTTCGACAAAGTGTGATTCCCCACATTTTTGTGTGTTCTTACTTGTATGCGCATCCCGCCCGAACGCCATGCCCGCCTCAACTGACTGCCTGACTGGCGCGCTCGCTCACTCTCTCACACTCTCTCTCACTCATCGCTCGCTCACTCATCGCTCACTCACTCGCTCACTCCCCCACTCACTCACTCACTCACTCACTCACTCATTCACTTCTCTGCTCATCATCCGGATACACTCAAATCCACTATCATCCCTTTTCGTGCGCTTCTGCATCCACTTGGTCTTAAAACGTTATAAACACTACTGTAACCTCACATGTGGGTTTGTTTGGTCATTTTTCTTTTGTTATGTTTCAGTTCCTTTATTAATATAGCGTTTCTAAGATGTAGTGGAAATGTCTCTTGACTACCTTACTTCTTTGGAAGCATAGAGGCGGAAGTTGTGCAGCACTCAACTGAAAATTGGCTTTATTGCTTCAACTTCTTGGATTCTGCACTTGCTGCTCCCAGGGCAATCAAGCCTTTGTTTGGTCTGATTGCTGACTCCATGCCTATTTTGGGCTTCAACCGAACACCGTACTTCGCCATAAACAGCATCGCTGGAGTGACGGCGCTCTTCCTCATTGCTCTGGTGCCATCTCTTTCGCTCTCGATTCTTCTCCTCATGTTCTTTCTGGTGTTCATGGAGATTTGGCTGCAATCATGCATTTTCCTTGCATTTTCCAAACCTTCTTCAAACCGGTTTTCTTTGCAGTTGTTGTTTGAGAGAGATCCCGAGGACATTGCGTGGAGCGACCTTTTGACTGAAGCTGTCTACTCCACGCACCTGCGTTCCAAGCCTGAGGAGGGCCCCAATCTCATCTCTTTCATTTGGGGAGGTGCACGGGCTGCAGGATTGCTTTCAATCTCGAATCCTATTCATACTCATATTGAGTATTGCTGAATGTCGGGATCCCTTCACTAAAGGGCACATGTTTTTTGCAAATGGTGCCATGCCAGTTCACATTACTCTCTTGATATTTTTTGAAACCGCATTCCGAAAGGATGTTGCTCGTAGTAGGCATGAAGGAAAGAGTTCTTGCCTTTCATAACCAAGTGCAAAGATCTTTGGACACTTTGCACATGGTGTGCCGCAGTTTCACTGTCCATAGGTATTGGCATCGGAAAACTGGTTTGCATCAGCATGGTGGGAATCTCGTTTGCATGGTTCGTGGGACGAAGTTCATTCGACTGATTCAGCTCTGTTTAATTCAGCACTGCGTTCATGTTGGTGGTGTGTTTTCTCTGCGGTGTGGCAGTGACTTGCTCAATTAGCGGGAGATTGGTTCAAAAAGGCGTAATGACATACGCCCTGTTGAAGACCTTTACCAATCGTTCTGTGAAGTAGCAGGTCCTCACCATAAGTCAGTTTGCACACGAGATGTTGTGTAACGAGGGGGATGCCCCCAAAAGGCATTTGAATCATGCATGCCACCATGCACGGACTGGCAACCAAACAAACTGATGTGTACAATGAGTTGCTCAGACCTGTTTATTGTCTCACTCCCCAAGGAGTGCTTATGGAGCATTTCGGGAATCGATCTCCGCACCTCAGTTATTTAACTTCGTTTTGTTGTGGCCAGTCAGGCCAGATTGCTCGTTGTCTCTGAAGTTTTGCGTCGCCATGTGAAGGTATTTGATAGCTGCTCCAGCTGCGGCATTTACGCTGCTCATTACCTTCTTGAATTTGCCTGAAGAGAGGCTTTGCTTTACTTAAATCATCTTAAATCGAAGAACTTGCTATGCCCGAACCAACACAGAAAAGGATACTGTACAATATTATCAACTTGTTGATTACTTTTTCCTTTGTCATTCATAGAGCTGTCATTTATAGAGCTGCCCCATGGGCTCTCAAAAACAGCCAGATCATTCAGATAGCAACGCTTAGTACAACTACCTTGGAACCCCTTCAGTCTTGAAGTTTGCGAGTGCTGCCTAGGGTGCATCAGAATGGCGGAAGAAAGAAATCAGAACACGACGTTGTGGAGGTGTTTGTTTTCCCAGTGTTCTAGTCTTCTTACGAATTTTCTATCTATGCGCTGGAGGTATTCTTATTTAAGATATTTAAGGATAAAATGTAGGAGGATACTGTCACATCACGCGCCACATCACAGTAGCAGACATCGCATAGACATCGCAATGCCGCCAGCGTCGCGGACATGGGACCGCACAGAGTTTCCCAGAGGGGGGGGGGGCGAAAAAAAAAAAAACTGGGGGCCTTGGTTTGGGGGAGCACCATTTTTTTTGCCGCCGACCCCCCCCCCGGAAACGGAGAGCATACTGAAGAATCAGAAAGGAAAATGCGCAAGGAAATGGAATAGGACAATCCTGATGAGACCTCATGTGTTGAAGGGGATTTATGCTGAAAGGTCCAAATGGGAGACAGAGATTCTGAAGCATCAGCAAAGCACAACAGCAGATGAGAGAACGCAAAGGAGTGGATTGAGCAAAGGGAAGAAAGCATCAGGTGGGAACCACATGAGAGTCAGGGCATCAGGTCAGGGTGCCAAGCAACAATTCCCCCACTTGGTTGGTGAGGTTAAGACATGGTTGGAAAGGGAAAGGAGTTATGGGCATGGGGTTAGGAGGGACCTTCAAGATGAGCTGAACCAACAAGCCCATGAGACAGGAACCGAATGAGGACCTTGAGGCATTGGATGATCAGAAGAAGCAAGATTGGCAATCGGTGACCACTGAGGATCAAAAGGGTGGGGGAAGAGCTCATTTGACTATCAAGACGGACTCAGCAACTGAGAAGATGAGGATTACCTTTGAGGCCCATTGGACATGTGGGCAAGGGGGCGCTCATAGTACCTGGGCAACATGCAAATGCAAGATTGGACAACATTGATGACAAAGGCAGGTGGATTGAGGATGAATCATTCAACTATTTGGGAGACATCAAGCTGCATAGGAAGGGAGAGAGTGCCAGGAGGGCATTGGAGCAATGGGTCAAGATCAGAAGGGGTCATCCTCATTTGTTGGAGCACTATGATGTTTATTCCCAACCATCCTCCAATCAGGACAATATCATTATGTCATGGGTCATTGCAAAGCAAGGGAGAATGTATCCAGTATCCATCTATCAGAGGGATTGCTTTGCTGCTTCATTTAGCGATGATACATACAAGATGATGTATGCAGCCCATCAGCTACAGTCTATCATTCCTCCAAAGATGACAACTATGATGCAATTGACAGATACAGACTTTAGCTATGTGTTTAAAAGCTTGATGAGGAAATCTGTTGATAAGATCATGGCAAAGGGGCAGCAGCCCATGGGCACAAGTGATGTGTACCAGATGCGTGAATGCAACGAAAAGATAGAAAGTCTATTGAAAATCGTAGAAAATACAAAAAACACTGAAAAAACAGACACCTCCAGGGCGTCGTGCTCTCAAAGAAATTTATATAATAAGGACCCCTGGGACCAATTATATAAATGCCTATGCATCAGGACAACAGACATCATCCACAATTTTGTGAAGTTTAGGTAACATGTTTGTAATGCTGCAAGGACCAGTCGAAGAGGGCGTTGCTGTAAAAAGTTGGGTGGCTCTGAGATGCCCTTGGCAATTGTTTCTCGGCAGTTCTGTGATGCTGGCCGTTGTGTTTACTTCCCATAGTGAAACAATGGTAAGACCCACGTGGCCACATGGTTCTTGAGGGATTGTGAATGATTGTGATAATATATTCAACATATGTATATAATCGGCTGCCTTAAAGCCTCCCAATTCAAAACACGGCAACGGCATGCAACATATCCCGTCATGTAAAGAAAGGAGAACGCAAGATCAACGTGTAGAACATTGCTGTGTGTCGGACTCACACATGTTTGCAGCTGTGTTGCCTGACGCAAACTATCAGAAAGAATCATCATTCCAGATCCCATTGTGGTCCAATTGAATTGTACCGTTGCACATGTGCAGCTCCATGGTCCCAAAAACGGAGTGCAAAATCTGGCAGGGCGATATCCGATAGCTTTTGGATCAGGGGACGGCCCGGTTTTCAGGGCCCGGTTTTGGGGGCCAAACCTTCGACCAAAGAGTCAAATGTTCCGCTGGAGAAAAACAAGTTGCACAACGAGATAGGCCCACAGAGAGAGAGAGAGAGATAATATAGAAGGTTTGCTCACACGGATGTGAATATGTTTTTGCAAAGTTGGTATGGGAACAAGTGGAATGACAAGTTTTTACTTGAGTGAACTTGTTTTTTGACAATTAATGTCTATTTTCACTCACGCCATCATGGTATAGGCGAGTCTTTTTAGTTGGGGCTAGGGATGGTTGTAACTGACACTTTGGAACATGGAAGCGGGAAGTGGCAGAGGCATATCTGCAACATTGCAGCCCATCCCATCCTATCAGGAATTGTGTTGTTCTCATTGCTGGCCCACCACTACCACATGTTTCGTTCAATCCTGGGTGCCGATTTCACATGTCGTGGGAATCGTTGTGGCATTCCAGTGCTTACAGTGCTGTCATTTGTTCAGCCGAGGTTGGCTTGGTCATTGGCTTGGGTGCTTTGAGCTTGGCATTGCTGTCGGTCTTCGGTGGCGATTTGGCCACCAAGGCACGCACTTTGAGGGCTTAGTGGACTGCTGAGAGGATTTGTGAGACATTTGGTCAAAAACACCCCTTTAGAGGCCTACCGCCTACCACCTGGGAGTGGGGCAAAGCCAAGTCAAGGTTGCCCTCCACTGTTTGCCAAATGAACATGTTAGTTCGCGGCTTCTGTGACCCTTTGAGGTGACTTGTGCTGCGATTTTGGCGGTTGTGGCCCTCGGCTTCTTGTATTGCGCTTCATGGTTCAGATGCTGATGTTGTGTAGGGCGGGGTGTAGAGGAGTCGTCCCTCCTGCATGCAAGGATTGGTGTCAGCCGCGCTTACACCTATCGTCGCGAAGGTGAATGCATTCTTCTTTATTCAGAGCATTTGCAGCTTCAGCATTTCAGGCATTGGGTGTTGTGTTTGTGTCACCTTTTTGCGCACTTCTTGATTTACTTTTGCTTTTGGGGCGCGTGAATGACATTGCCTGACCTGCTGTAGCTACTTCAAAGTTTCTTCCATCAGATGGCACTGTATCTACACAGCATGAATTTTGCAGGGGCTTCCTTCTACTTCTTCACAGACGGACACTTTGCAGCACTGAACATGAAGCCTGGATGCTTGTCCGGCTGCCACGGTGATAGTGAGGAGGCCTCTGTGTTTCGTGCCCAGGGCCGGTGGAATATCCTGAAGGGCCGCACTTGTCAAAGGACGGACTTTCTGGTGTTGCCCATAAGAATGCACGCCACTTAGAGCAGCATGACGATGCGTCGTTCCAACATATCTTGGTTGTGCTGAATTATATAATTCATGTTTGAAATTGGGCAACTCAAATGACTCAAGCAGAAGCAGGAGTTCTACACGTCAGCAATCGGCCTTGTGTCAACAGCGCCCTGCCAGCACTTTGCAATGTTAATGTGCCTGATTTCTTCCTCACAACCTTGATGTTGGAAATGTTATGAAATTTTGCTGCCGCTCATGGAAGATAATGGTGCAATGCTGCTAGAGGTCTTGACTAAGCCACCCGCAAGCCATTCCCTTTGATTTCCATACTGACGGAGCTCCTTCTTAATTGTTCATTCATGTTCATGCGTTTCGTTCAGTTGGCGTAGAAGTAGATGTGGAAAGCATGCAGTGCTGCTCAACTTCGATTCCGAGCGCTGCTCGGTCCAACATGAGAGGTTCCAACGTGACAGTGCTGCTTAGGTCTTCTCCCTATTTGGCATGGTGATCTACAACCGCTGGATGCAACACTGGCGGTATCCCTTCATTTTGATGGAACCTTGGTGGAGATCATCCACAAAGGCAAAAGTGACATATCTATAATATATATATATATATATTTCATGGCCCTGGGGTGCTTGTGAAAGCATTGCGCTTTGTGTGATAGCTTCCCAACAATACTTTTTGGGACTGAGTAATGCTGATGAACAATCTAAAATTTGAATGTGAGCCTATGCGTCGGCAAGTCAGGGCAGTCCATTTTGTTTGCAGGCTGCCCTCATGTAGGTGCCTAACTACTAACTTCGGTCCACGCAATTGGGTAGACCGGGTAGTCAACAGCCTTTTCCTGCTCAGGATGTTGAAGTTAGATGTACTGTATATATATATATATACGGCAACGGGTATGTGATTTTTATTTGCATTTTTTAAAGTGTCCCGTTTATGTAGGGCTGGGATGTTCGACTTAAATACCCTCTGAAAACGCTACTATATACTTTGGTCTTCACACTGCGCAGAGCATACCTCCGAAGCACACCCCATAGTCAAACATCCTGGCCCAGGAACGTCAAAACAATAAAACCCCACATAATATATATTGTATATATATATGTATACTTGGAAACTGTGTGCCCAAATCAGTTTGAGTGCTTTCAACATCACCAAGATGGGAAGTATTCTGGCTTGCGTTTGCAACCTGGTGAGCTGCGTGGTCTTCACGCGGACCAATGTAAGGCAGGCCCTTTTTTTTTTCCGAGGAACCGGGTGAGGTGGCATGCGACCTGTACATGTGTGTAGTCATCGCGCTAGGAAGTTGTCCAGACTTTGGACGGAATACTCATCAACAGAGCAACTTAACGAGTTTTTGATTCCAGTATTTGCAGTGGAGAAGTGATGATCCGGGACCTGTTGAAGTCCGGGACCTTTTCCTTTGCAGCTAAATTTTGTGTGGTAGAGCTATGACATACACCACGGCTTAAGCCTGCCAATGCTGCATGCTGAAACTGTATTTCAATCGATGATAGATGATTTGAGGGTTGGAAGGCCTTCAGAACTTCGCTCTTGAGTTCCGTTGATCCCTGCCCTGTTTTAGATGTCAAAATGACCTGCAACAGGTTGGGCATCAGTGACAAGTTTTTCGTGCTTGCCTCCGATGCGGTGCAGATGGTGGTGATGGAAATCGTAGCCTAGCAGAAGAGTTCCAGTCATGACCTGCCGGCGTGGAAGAATGCCCCGGCTCATGTATGAGCTTCTCACATTCACCTGAGACATGAGCGGTAATTGTAGATGGATGGCACATAGATGGATCACTTGGCAAATGATCACGCCAACAAGCAACATGACCTCTCCACAGCAGGTTGATGGAGGGAGTGACATTTTCTCCTGCCTGTCACTTGAACTCTTCACCAGAGGTGTTGAGGAGAACAAAGAGGCGTTTCTAGTTGAAGGGGTTGAAGGGTTTGAAGGGTGTTATTGTTCGATGATTTCGATGCTCGAGAAGCAGAAAGATTCACGAACGGCAAGAAAGGTCTTCTGGTCAGTGTCAGTCGTCGAGTGTTTTGAGGCTTGGCTCCCAAACATGCTTTTGATGTCGCAGCTCTGTCCCAAGGGATGTGAAGCCGCTCAGAACGCATGGACGGGCGGTTGGAGCTGATTCCGAACATGGAACGTTGAGGGAAGTGAAGATGGGCTTGTTTTTAAGAAGCCGGTTTATGTAAGCATTAGGCACAATCTAGGCACAATCATGCATTATTCCATGGAATATAGCTGGAGAGTCTGGGGAGGATTTGCATGTATATAAGGCTTGAATGTAGGTGTCAGAGGGCTCAGATGCTGAAAGAGCTTCTGGGCCAATAAGGCCAAAGATTGAGAAAGTTTGATGATTCAGCATTCAACGCCGACGCAAGGCAACAATGTTTGCACTCCTCGCTGGTATGGGTGCCTCAGATGCGCTAACTACTGTTCAGGTGGGTTTGCCAGGCCTATCCTTCGGCAAGCTTGTAGTTCAAGCATAGTGACATACTGGAAGCCTGCAAGTGAGAAACATAGCAGGGCAGTTGCTTTGGCATACGCGTTCCTGTGATACCTGTTGTTAGGCCATGATATGCCTAGAGCAGGAGTGGTGCCCTACAACCACTGGCAGCTGGCATCCCATAGTGTGAGAAACTGCCTTGCCTCGCGAGGCAATTTGGGTGCAAACTTGGGGAACTACTTTGGCGCTTTCCTCCTCAAGATGTTAGGCCACACTGAACAACTTTGAAGGTGTCATGGTGCTCTTGAACAAACTTGTGGACAGAATGATCGTGAGAATCTAGGCCGACATGCATCACCGTTGCTTCTGCAACTCTTCAACGTTTCGTTGCATGTTGCTCCTTGGCGGAGTCGACGACGGCAGGTGTCCAACCTACAGGTGAGCCTAATGAAACTGCTCAATTCGAAAATCTTTGGCTTGCGGCGGTGGTTGCTCGGCACATCAATAGACTCTCTTCCGTGAATTGCAGACAGTTGATCCCTCATGGGAGCAAGCTGCCCAACGTGGAAGGATGGTTTCGTGTGACTTTGGTCACTAGCACTTGATATCATAGGATGAGAAAAGTGTTGCTTTGTCCGTTGACAGCACTTATATAATCTTATATACGTCCAATCCTAGGCAATTGTATACTGAGCTAAGGTGTCTGCTATTGCACCAATGATCCCTTTGGCGCTGATACTGAACTGCAAATTGCAACATGTGTGTCGTATTAGAGGCAGATCCTTTCTCGCAAGGTTGGCAAACACATGCAAACACTGCTCACTTCTTCATGTTTCCCGTTTCCCTGTTTAGTTTCATAGGATTGGCCTTACTCAGTCTTCAGCACTATCCTGCACTCAGGGTCTTCAAGCTCATCCCCAACATCAGTCAAAAGGACCCTATTAAGGGGTGCCTTGGCAAATTACCTTCAGAGTGCATTAGCATACTCTATGCAATCAGGCAATGAAGGGTCAAAGTAGACCACAATGCGTGCAACATTCTGAAACAGGCATAAACTCATAAACTGAATTTGATGATAATGTGTGTTCTGGCGGGCGGACAGCTCACACACTAGATGCGTGTGGGTTTCCGCGACGACATCGAGAGCAAAAGAATAGAAACCAAACATTTTCCAATTTTCCGACGGCCGCGAATGCCAATCTTCAGAAATCCACGGCAAAAGCCGGCCCTGCTTTTCAGGTTAACCAGCTCATCTGCTGGTTCTCCGTTGAGTCGATTTCTGGAAAAGTACTTCGGGATTGAGGCGAACGCCTCATGTGTGCCACATGCGTTTTTTCGTCAGCAAGCTGTTGAAGGCCAAGTTCTTACTAGATGTTACAAGTAGCACATAATAGCTGCGAGTCACGAAAACCTTGACACATGGGAAGCCTGCCAGGACATTCCATCGGACGATTCTACCCAAGAGCTGGAGAACATGGTAAGCTCAGCAGACGCTTGATATGAATGTTGGAGCTCGTGGATCCCCAATGAGATTCGTCAACCTCTCATTTTTGATCCGAAGCACCCAACCTCACTGCAAAACCATTAACAACATGATGTTTCTATCGGCGGTGAGAAACCCTGCAAAAAGCTCGCAAGGTGCTGCAAAAGGAATCTATTGCATACTATTGCCACTAATTAGAAGGCAGTGTGGTGTAGCTCTCGAGTGGTTTGTTTTCGCGTCGTAGGCCCCAAACGCCCATTCCCCACGTCGTCCCGCATCCGCGCAATCTTTTGACCCCTCAGGATGACAACGACAGCTCAGATGAGGCAATGCAAAACACCCTGGTATGATTGAGCGAGACTTTACACACCTCCTATTGTTTTTGCTCATGTGCTAGTCGACTTGAAGTTTGATGTTCGTGCTGAGCTGTATGCAGATGCATAACGCACGCATGGCCATATGCAATTACCCGAAGATACCTGCGCGGATAGGCCGTTGTGCGATTTTGCGCACAAACATTCCTCACCCTGGGCTTCATAATGACCTGCAGGAGAAGGTGGTTTGCTGATTTGCGGCGCCCTAATATCCTACTGAGAGAAGAGTCAATTCAGGGTAAATCTGTCAGACTCTTCAAAGAGGGGAAGACAGGGAAAGAGAGAGGGGCGAAATGATCTTTAAGTCAACTTCTGTCAGAATCTGACGCTCAGGGTCGATCCGACCTGTGTCTTCCGGCAGCGGCATTTTCCTGCAGACTTTGTGCTGCACCACCTGGCGCATGAAGGCTATGTCGGCATTTAGACTAGAGTTTAGCCTTTTTCGATATGGTATATAAACTCCGTTAAACCCCCCACGACCCCTGGACTGACTCAAATCATAGGCGATGCGTGTGAAGTGTGAACTTTGCTCGCTCCAGATGTTGCCAGCAGCATGTCACGGTCTTATGCACCGAACCGCAAGCCAGCCTTGCCCGCACTGTGAGAAAAAAGGGTAGAGAGAGTGCTTCTCGGAAAGATGCTTGTGAGTTGCCTCTTTTTGTTTAGCTGTGTGAGTGCAGATATGACTCTGACACATGCAACACATGCAAGAGTGATTGCAAATGCCATTTGTCCTCGGTGTTGCATTTTTTGTGTGGAGCATGTTGCAAGTGGTGCTGAGCTTGATGCTTACACATGAGAGGTACACATGCGCACCAATGGCTGCAGGACAACAAGAGTGAGGACAGGTTTGGACGAATTGGGGAGATATCAGGAATTCCTGTATTGTTGCTCCAACTGTCCAGCCACCATCGCAAGGTTAGGAGGCAAGTGATGGTCGGAACTTGGGGGGGTGCACCTGTAGAATCTCATACCAAGCCACAAAAGAAAACTTGTCCCATCACCCTTGCACGCGCTGGCTTTGCATTTTTCATCCTTTTTCCTTGATGGCAGGCTTTCAGCCCTGCCATTCGTTGCGCTGTGGTTGGTGGCATCCATAAGGCAGGGTTGAAGATCAAACCCAAAATTTCCTCAACGTGCACGTGCCAAGTCTATACAATTAGTATTTCCCCCATGCACTACACTCCTGCAACTAACATGGAAGTGGAAAACCCCTGTTTGTAGAGGAAAATGGTCCTCCAAGGGGACATGTTCCACTTCCATGGTAGTTTTTGGGAGTGTACGCGGCACATGGAGCGCCAGAAGCTGCCGAAAGCTATCAGTAAATCGAGTCGTAAATTTTGCTGCTTTGAAGGACTCAGGACAGGACCTGATGAAACTACCAACTACTACCAGTAGGACGGGCTTAGGACTGGATATTTCAGCCACTTCTTGCACATTGGTAGGTCACTATGCTTTGGTTGGGTGAATCCACCCAAGCTGCGGCCTGTTCAGGGCTGGTATGAGGTCGATCTCCTGTGCGTGTGAATGCTGGATGTACCTAATGGCGATGGCCTCCAACCTAATAATACCTAATGCTAATATCGAACTCTGTTTGATCATTCTTCTTCCAACTCTTCATCATTGCTTGAACTCTTTGGCATGTTAGACCATTTTGACCTTGCCAGGAAGAACGGTTAGTTAAGCCGACAGGAGGCTGGGTTCGCGCACTCCCAACAACCACAGCCGTCCCAAATCCGGACAGGTCAAAAACCCCTCACTGCTCAAGCTTCACGAGACAAAGTCTGAAGTTAACAACTAAGGAACTAAGCAAGCCAGAAGCCACGCCTTTGATGAATGGTTTAAAGTGCAGCTATCAAAGTGCATGACTTTGTATGCATCATCGCAGCATGTGTCCATTGAAAAGACGAATGCTCTCACCGCGTATATCTGGACATATCCAGGTGCCCCGGCTCGTGGTCCACATCCACCAAGGCCGCCCAAGTTTCTCATGAAAGGCCGGCTGAATCTTTTGCGAGATCGGCTACTTCGGCCGGGTGGCAAGTGTTATTTTTGAAAGAGGGGCCAGTTTATGATTTAGCCGCATGCGTGCGCGATAGCAAAACAATTAGTGGTCACTCTTGTATTGGCAAGCGAGAGGAAATCCTCGTGTTTTGGTGGTCTAAAAAGTTTGAGTGGTTTTTGAAGTGCATGAAGTTCGTCTCGGGTGCAGCGAATCGTGATTTTAGGACATGTGGCTTGTTATCGGAATTTGGGAGCTCAGTATCGAGCAAAAGCATCGTTTTGGCATCTCGAACTTGTCTTTACAACAGCCTCGAAGTGCAAATATGTCGTGCGCTCAGATTATGTGTGCTCTCTCTCTCTTGTAAATTAGTGTCCTCTCTTGTGTGTGTGTGTGCATTTGTACTCTTATGTGTGTCATCTCATGTGTGTGCTGTCAAATGTGTGTGTGCTCTTGCCTGTGTCCCCTCACATGTGGGCGCTTTTGTGTGTGGTTTCATTTGTGTGTTCTCACCTTCGTGCTCTCGTGTTCTTTTGTGGGAGCGGTCTTCGTGTTTGTGGAGGGTTCCCCATGCGCAGGTCGCCTTCCAACCAGCTCACGGCCAGACCAAAGCCCGAGCATGCAAAAGGCATGGGTCTTTGTTTTCTCAACCAGTCTCCCCGGCAAGGTGCTGCCGGGCTATGTAGCTACATGTTGATTCCTTCGTCATGTTGATGGAAATCATCATCGTTCTGTGGCCCACAGAGCAGCATCAAAGGGATGTCTAAAGTCTAAAGCCTTGACAAGTTCGAGGGCGACTTGTTTTGCAGTGAGCATGCGTGAAGAATGCACCAAGCAATCAGGACATCGAGCTGGAAGAGGCACCTGCTGAGATCTTGAAACTGGATGAAAAGCAGGCTATCCGGGCCCAGCCCTGTCAACTTTGATTTGGTTTAAGCCTTAAACTTGGCAAATTGAAGAGACATGGCTTTGCTGATCCAAAGTGGTCGTTGGCCTTGTTGTTGTAAAACAAGAGGGTCGCGCAAACCCCTTTTTACCTTCAAAGAACC